AAACTTTCTTTGTTGCTACAGAGGCGTTGTATCTCTTCTTGTATTCAAACTGCATTACATACCAAATGAGTTTTTTTTGGGGGAGGGGGTAATGAAAGTGTTCTAAAACGCGACGTTAATTTCTTGACGACCTAATATATATGTGTGTGTATGTGTGAATGTGTAACTAGTGAAATTAAAATTTATAGAACAAAGAATTCAGCCACTGAACATTATATTACTTGCATTGTTTTTTGTTATAACACGTTCGTTCTAGAGCTCACCATTTAGCTTTTACGTCCATTTTCACTCAATCAATTATTGTGCTCCCTCTCGAGATACAAAAACAACAACTTAATTCCAGTTAAATTCTAATTCATTAAAAGACGGACAAACACACTAGCAGTTTCATACGTTTTCTAGTATGTAAGTCCAAAAATAAAAGATATAATTAGTACAACAGCTTGAAACAAAACAATATTCTTCGGACGAAATATAGAAACTTATAAAGCATGGAGGGGTGTGTATCATATACCTCGTGCGACATGAGGAATATACTGTCTACCCTGTACAATATGAGGGATATACCGTCTACCCTGTACAATATGAGGGATATACTGTCTATCCTGTACAAAATGAAGGATATACTGTCTACTCTGTACAAAATGAGGGACATACCGTCTACCCTGTACAAAATGAGGAATATACTGTCTACCTTGTTCAAAATGAGGGATATATTGTCTACCTTGTTCAAGATGAGTGATATATTGTCTATCCTGTACAAAAGGAGAGATATACTGTCTATCCTGTGCAAAATGAGGGATATACTGTCTATCCTGTACAAGATGAGATATATACTGTCTACCATTTACCAAAGGGGGTATATTATCTGCCCTATACAATAGAAGAAAATTCTTTCTACCCTGTACAAAAAGGGCATGTACATTCCCTCTGAACAACTGAAATATATATCGTTTAATAACATCTATCAGTAGACTTCAACTGCCTGGTGGTAAACTTGTTATAAAAGATCCGAACAGATATTTAAAAAAGCAGATATTAAAAGCAGATATTAAACCATAGTGAAAGTTCACAAGACACAGTTTCGCAACTAAGCAGCATTCAAAGGCAGATACTAAATCATACTGAAACCTTTACACGACACAGTTTCGCAAATAAGCAGCAAGCAACGCACGAAAAGAGGGAACACTTCTAAAATATATATGTGAGATATACATTTTTAAAGTGTATCACAAACATGTCACATTAACAAGTAAGTGAAGTAATGACTTAAATAGACTTTCTCAAAACCCTGTCTAATACACATGCTCCCCTGTCTTCCAGTACAGACTTGCCTCAGACATGTAGCAATTACCACGCTTTTTCTACAGCCGTTTTCTGCAAATTGGCTGAGAACATGGAGCAATCATCTCTTTAGTTCTTTTTCTAATTTCCAATTCAAGGTGGCTGAGAACAAGGAGCAAACATCACTAAATTTCTCCTACAGTTTTGTGTAAGCTGGCATTAAAAGGGTTGATTTTTAGTTCTGATCTATGTATATATCTTCGTTTTATCAGATATTAATATTCATCACACGATATCTTCTGCTTTATCCTGCAAGATGCTTAAGGCATGAACAATCATCGCTGGAACTTCTATTTTATAATCAAGCTAGCATTAGACAAACAGTAATGAATGTTCCTGTATTTAAGGAAGCAACAAAGCAAAGTCAGTTTTATTCTTTCGTATTTACTATATATATATATATATATATGTTGATTCTCTTACATTACCCTTCCATACACATTAAACACAAAACTGAATACCAAACTTTAGAAGTAAAATCATATCTTAGTTTCGATCAAGAAAACTGTGGACAAATGTTTAACACTCAATATTCCAACGTAACTTGAGGTATGTTACCACTAGCCGAATTAAAGGAATACAGTTTAATAGAAAAATTCACTTCTGCATTTAAACCCGTTGATTTGTTACTCTTGTAGGCCAGCCTGAGAAAATGAAACGATCCTGACAGAAGAAATGGTGACTAGCAGTGAAGATATTAATTTAGCAGGAGATTAATGAATAAGAATTTGACTTGTTTGAAGTACTTGGGTAAAAAAGGGTATTGTAACTGTAACTGACATTTTAGTTCCCAGGTAAGTTTTAATTCTTTCTAATCACTTCAAAAATAAATGAAAAACGACTTATAAAAATAGTAAGACTTTGTAAATGTCGCACACCTGGTTAATAAAGAACTCTAAGAAGGACCATAGTATCTTACGAAGTCTTCGCAGTAAGTTACGAAAAACAAAACTGCTGAACGTGGGGAATTTACCTTATTTTGATATTATGTTGATTTACTTACCAAAATCTAAAAACGTCTACTCATTTGCTTATTCTTGGGTGTGTAAATGCGTTTCCTTTTACACTGATGTTAAAGATTATTGTGTTCCAATTCTTTAATTCAAGCGTGTTTGTTTATATCTAGAAATAAGACTGTGTTTTCTAGTTGAGCAATTTTACGTTAAGTTAAAAATCTGAATCAATAATAATATTTGACAAAATCTACAACGAGAACATTTATGTCATGTGTTAGTATATTTCAAGTAATTTTGAGCCACATCTATAAACACGTGTAAGATTATGCATTATATCTTGCATAAATCCTTCTTTGTCATCACCATACTACATAAACTATGGATTGTTAACTGTATAAAACTCTTATATCTGTAGTGTGAACCAACCAATCGATTCCTGGACAATATCTATTGATTACAAGCCCAGAATCTCAGAATATAGCGTTCTCTAGCATTAATAATGTTATATTCACTTCGGTACTGTGCTTCAGAAATCCGATTAGTGACCACGTTTCGTTCTTATAAAATGGGGAACTGATGCTCGATTTATGAAGAATTTTTAAACTCCTGTGATCACATTTTGAAGTAATATGAAACAACATTCAATTTGCTACAGGAAACTAACTGTGTCACGAGATGTGAAAATGTCTGTTTGTTCTAGATTTTTCACTCATAGATACACATAATTTTTAATCGATAGTTTAGAGGGAAGGTAGGTAGTCAATGCCACCCACTGCTAACTCCTAGGCTTCTCTTTTCTGATCTCATAGTCCGTCCGATCTCACTCTTGCAGCGCACACACAACCTCAAAATGTAGATCTCGTTTTTTTGCGGCAGCGGAAGGCGAACCATGAACCCTCAGATTCACAGCTCAGGCAGGCTAATCTTAAAGGAAAGAAAGGACACCAATAACATTATATAAAATAGAATAAAATCATAGTTTATAGATGAAGTTATTAAAGTTTGCATTTCATATATGTATACATACACATATATCAGCCTAATCACTCACCGAGTTAGCTTCTATGTACGTTGGTATTGATAAAAAATTATAATGATATGTAGCTAGTCTATAAGCACTTTTTCTAAAGCTCTTCGAAAATTCCTTTTAGCACATAATCATCAACAAGATGTTTGCAGATGTTTATTTTTGGATTTTCGCGCAAAGAAACTCAACCGTCTGACTTTTGAGCTGATAGAATATATATATATATAGCAAAGATAATAGTTCCAACTGTCCATCCGATCGAATAGTAAGAATAATGCATTGCACCATTTTTTTATTATTATTGATGGTAAAGGAACGCGAATACTGAACCAGCAGATTTACAGTCAGAAATGTTATATATACATATAACTACTGGGTGATGCTCTGCCCTTGTTATATATACATATAACTACTCATAGATACAGGTGACATGGTATCTAAACTTGAATTATTTTATTCTGGTGAGAGCAGTTTTTAATCCCAGAGTCATTGATTTAAGTTACCTATGATCTGATTCTTTACTTGGTAAGATGTTTAGTTGGTCGATTTCCATTTCCACGTGTCTTTCTCAAGTTAGCCATAGTATGAATAATTGTTCAAACAGTTTTCTAAATGAAGTACTTAATCATGTTAATGTAGAACAAATCCAATCAGTTAAATAATTTTTTTCAGATTTTATATTTTAGTAATTAAGAGAAAAATAAACAGCAACTCTTACCAATTTTATGTCTTATCATAGTCCGATAAGATATCACAACTTCTGTGTTTTATCATAGTCCGAAATGATATCACAACTTCTATGTTTTATCATAGTCCGATAATATATCACAACTTCTATGTTTTATCATAGTCTGATAAGATACCACAACTTCTATGTTTTATCATAGTCCGATAAGATATCACAACTTCTATGCTTTATCATAGTCCGATAAGATACACAACTACTATATTATTACTACTAGTACGTATAAGTATACTACACTTACTATATTTATTACATATC